TTGTAACCTGATAATTCAGGTACTTGTGAGTATATATCTGAATATTTTCAGTCATACTTAGTCAGTATATTTTTAGTTTAAGTACACTTATAAGTTCAGAGCTTTCTAAGGATTAAATTTCTTATACATATGAGTTATCAAGTTATATCTAACTGAATGTTTCAGATAGAGAGTTTTCACATATTTTAGATTATAATAAAGTATAATATTATTTTTCAATTTTCTTAGCTTGAAGTTTGAAAGCATCTCTTCTACTACTTTTATAAAATACTTATTATCTGACATCTTATTATTCTTTGAGTGAGAGATTATTATATTCACTTATTCTGATTTCTTATATTCTTTCAGTATGTTTAATATAAACTTTTCTTATACCTGATTTACAGAACTCTTATTCATGAAATTAAGTCTGCAACTGATTGCATCAGATATTACAGTGTTCAATTTCTTTCAGTATTTAATATAAAGATTGTACACTTAAAACTCTGAGATTTAACATACTAAGTGTTTAAAAGATTTTATTATTAATTATAAATAGATGAGACTTTCATGATCTGTGATTACTGTTGTTATATACTTGTTATTAATATATCTATCTTATAACACTAGTATGTACTTAATTATTAGTAATTTCTTTTTATATACTGAGTAATTGAGCTCAGTGTCTGATAGTTTTCTATTATTATACATCACTAAGTGCAGCTTGCTACTCTTACTCATCTGCAGAAGAGTGTCTTTAATAGCTTATTTAAATGTATTTATCTTAATATAGAAAGATTTATCATAATCTGATTGAATAAGCACTGAGAATGTTATTATATATTCTCTTAGAATGAGAAAGATCTCTTTACATGCAGCATTTCAGATAATTAAATAAAACTTCTTCTTTCACAGATTAACATCTGTTTCTCTTAAGAGATCTGAGAGTGATATAGTTATTTATATGAAATCTTTGATGAATCTGCAGTAGTATGAAATTAACTTAAGAAATTATTATATATAGTGTACATTTCTCAGCTGCAGTTAATTCACTATAATATTCAATTTCTCTGAAATAAGATGTATACAGCTATCACTTATTACATGTCTTATAAACTTCAACTCTTTCATTTCAAACACACACTTAATTGATTTAATATAGAGCTTATACTCTGTCAGAGTTATAAGCACTTTATCAAGATACTTCAGATATTTATTATATAAGTTTGAGAAAACTAAGATATTATTCAGATATACAAGATATGAGGTTTTATTTTATTTATAAAAAATTATATTTATCATTATTTAAAAGATAATAGATGCATTTATCAGACTGAATAATATTATCAGAAATTCAAACTTTCTTTATTATATATTAAACATAGTTTACAGTACTAATAGTTTATCTACACAGATCTGTTAGTATTCTGAGAGAAGATTAATCTTTAATAGATATCAGATGTTTTCAACTGTATTCAACTGTTATTAAATTCATGACAGTGAATATTCATTCTTGATTATAAGCTTATTAAGTACTTGATAATTAATATATATCTGTCACTTCTCTCTCATCTTTTTCATGAATAGAACTGAGAAACTTCACACACTTAATAAGAGTTATATAAGATTATATTCTAGAAGGTCTGTGATTCACTGATCTGATACTTCTGTTCTTTGAGATGCATTTGTAACAGAGAATATGCATTTTAATTAACTGATTTCACATCTTCTCTATTAATCTTATATATAAATTCTTGTTCTGATAATAATTCTGATAAAAGATCTATTTAAAAAATCCTCTCATACTTCTTCAGAAGTTTCTTTATATACTTATTCTTATATATATTCTTTATCTTAGTTTTCTCTTCTTCTGAGTCTTATATGACATACAAGATACTTTCAGATGAGGTCTTGTAAATTATTCTCTTTACTTATTAATATATAAGTAGATTTAACTCTTCTATATCAGAGATATGAAATGTTCTTCTCATATTAATTAATAGAATTATATAAATCATTTTCTTTCTATTAGTTAATCTTATATAATATGTACATCATTGAATCTGCAGATTAAATCTTTAAAATCAATTAAGTCTGAGAATAAGATTATATTTCATGTTATGCAGCTCTTACACTTAAATATAGCAATGTAATAAGCTGCGTCTGATTAATTATATAGACTATTTCATTACACTTCACAGATTCTGTTAAAAGCTTCAATTCTCAGTTACTAATTCTTGACTGAAAAACTTATGAAATTTCTATTCTTCTGCTTTAAAACTTTACTATGTATATGAAACTTCTATTCTTCTATTCTGAAGCTTTACTGTGTATATGTATAAATATTTACTTTAATTACTGATTTCTGCACTTTCTCTTTCTTCTCTTCTCTAATGTCTTTTGAACTGTGTTTGAAATTTCAAGTTTGAACTTAATCATCTTCTGTAGTTGTCTAGTCTGAGTATAAAGAATTAACAGAACTTCTTCATTCATCTCACTTAAATACTGTTTTTTAAGAATTTTGCTTACTTTTTCAAGTTTCTGTATTTTAAGAACTTATTGTTTCTCTATTTCTTCTTTCTTTCTTCTCTTCAGAATTTCAATCTCAGAAATAGCATTTGAGAAAGCATCTTTTTCCACATCAACTGAGTGTATTTTTATACTCATTTTTCTCACTCAATGAAAAGTTGATCAGACTGTTTCAATTGAGAGATTTATAAGTCTTATTCAGCAATGTGTCACTGAATATAATAGTGGAACATGTGTTACGATTGGTGACACGTGACACGGGTGGAATGGTGGATCCACGGTGTAATCGCCGTAAATTAGCACTAGAATAATCAACCAAGTTCAACCTCTTCTACACATATTTCCTCCTGTATTACCAACACTTGGCCTGTATTTAAAATCACGCAAGGAACTCATCATAAGCTCCGCTTGCATATGAGTATAATGGAAGAATAATTATACTAATAATAACACGGTTTTAGCGCCTTGACCGTGCATTTAAGTTTGGTTGTCCCCGCCATTGGCGCCCTGCGGAAGGAAATAAGGGGAAAATAATGACGTCTAGTTTGTTCGGCAATTGTAAGATTTATAATATGAAATTCAACCGGCTATAGTTATAGCAAACCCCGGATATAACAAAAATACCTTGGAAGGTTTTTTTTTCTTTGAGCTGTGAGTCATCGCTAAGGTTTTTTCATTTTTCCTTCAACAGAATGCTCTTTATTATAATACTCGAAGTTGGCTTTTACCCAGGTTGATATAAAAGGAATAGTCCATCTCTCAAGTAGTTATAGTTCTCATGTTCCTCACTGGCCTTCAGGGCGGACTATTTTGGGCCTTTGCCGTTATTTACCGAATATATCTCCAGGCATTCCCTGAGCGCTCTTTTCGTACCGTTCTTGCGATTGTAACATAACAAACATACTTCGTAATCATTTTTTCAAAGCCTGCCACTCTTCACCATGTTCCACCCCCGGTTGGCCGGCATTGTCCCGCGCCTGAATGCCTCTGTTCCAGTGTCGCTCCTCCTCATATACGTATTATGTCTATCACCAATATTCCTCCTCGTGTACTTTGGACACAAAAGTCGTCGCGCAGCAGCCCGAAAACCTAAGGGATGCCGAAAATTGGGCTTATATGATTTCTCAAATCTTAAGGATGAAGACAACTACCGTGCTGACGGGAGGCCGAAACGAAGCAAGCAGAGCGATGCGGGGAAAGGAAGAATCCGGGTAAAGGCTCTGTTGGCGTATCCGATCAAGAGCTGTGCCGGAGTCGAGTTCAATATCGCCGATTTTGAGAGTACCGGAATGGCATATGACCGACAATTTTGTTTTGCGGAATATGTAAACTCTCCGGCATCAGGCACAGCGGAATCGGAAGGAAAGAAACATGACGATAAACCAGCAGGGAAATGGGTGTTCCGCACGTTGCGTGACTTGAAATATGGCAAATTAGCCTTAGTCCGGCCGGAGATCTGGGTTCCTGATCCTTCATCACCCACTTACTCACCAAAACGCCCGGAGGTGCGCTCAAAGGGCGTTCTGGTGATAAACTACCCTCGCGTCCCAGGCGGCACTAGGCTCAAATGTCTCCTTTTATCATTCGGAATGAGACTGGGCCTCTGCTCTCGCGAAGAATCCTTTCAGGTACCACTCAGCCCTCCGGCATCGGCCATTAAAGCTGGCACCTATCCATCTCGCTCCGTGCGCATCTGGAAGGACACTCCTATGGCCATCGACTATGGCAAACACATCCCACCATCCCTTCTCGCCTTTATCGGCCCCTCAAGACCCATGACTCTCTTCCGCATCGATCCGGACCACCATCGGAAAGTTTTCCGCGGCGCGCCTAGCAAGGAGGTTCTGGGTTTCCAGGCCACCACAGGCTTCGCGGACTCATTCCCGGTCCACATGCTGGGCCTGGGGAGCGTTCGCGAGATAGATGCACGCACTAAGTACGCCATTCCCAACTTATCAATACGTCGGTTCCGGCCCAACATCATTCTCGAGGGTAGTGCGGCGTTTGAGGAGGACGATTGGAAGCGAGTGCGGTTCATCCCGCGGAATGACAAGCAGATGCTGGGCAGCCAAGTGGCGGAGGAGGCTGGGAAGAGAGAAGGACAGAACGGAACTTTAGCAGACGATAGTCAAAGCCGTTCTAGTAAGAATGGAGATGAGGGAGTTGAAATGTATATCTCGTGTCGGACTATGCGGTGCAGATTGCCAAACGTGGACCCGAACACGGGACTGAGGCACCCCGTTGAGCCAGATAAGACTCTGAAGAGCTTCCGGTGCATTGACGCTGGAGATCCGAATAATGCGTGTTTGGGGATTCAATGCGTTCCAGCCGTTGAGGGTATGTGTGTTCCTTTTCCTTTTTCTTTTTTACGCTGGACCATTTTCAGAGGGTGGGTATGTTGAGTGCCTTTAGGCGGGACTCCCATCTGAAAATTTCATTACAACCTTTTCTCAGTTGAGCTCAATTCATTATTCCTTTGGAAGACGACGATTGCAAGAGGTTAACGCTAAATATGCAGAATTCACACTTCGCGTCGGAGATGAGCTCAAGGTTCTCGAAAAGGGCGAGCATTTCTATCTTAAAATGGGGTAGGAGTAAGAAATATGTACATGAGCAAAAACCTGGCAGTTCTGTTGAGCATACTGCATCGTCGCATAGTGTTTAGGGAGGTTATGTATGATACCATCCATATATATTTCCAGTTCGTATTTGTACTGCCTTGGGAAAAAAGGAAATAGAAATAGAAATGAGTGCGGATATTCGGAAGGGGTGTTTTGCTTGGCCAATGGCGTTATATACCACTTGTCCGCTTCAACGTTCAAAAGTCGAAAATAGAGGTGGATAGATATGTATTCTACAGATTAAGCTGAATGATATCATTGACATAGTTCTCATGGACTGTTATGCCGGAGGAGAAGCTCTCCCAAAGCGTATACACAATGCAAAGGTTTGCTGTGTAGAACCAAACTCTGTCCGTAGATATGCAATTAAGTCGTGATTCCCCTTATAAACCCCAAAGTCGAGAGAATGGCATATTTGTATGATAAAACGGGTCAGGAGATAAGAGGAATAAAGGACTGTCCTTGCGCAACGCTCCATATCACAGGCGATGACCACCCCTACGCCAATTGAGGGTATGCGTACAAGACAGCGACACGGATGGACAGTCAAGTTCATCTTGAATTAATCAAAAATAGGTAATTATAGGATAAGGAGAACCTATGAAAAAGCCAAGGGAAGTGATCCAACTCCTGGAAAGCGCACGCCCAACACCGAAGATAGCACACATAAGGATAGAAAGCAAGAACATTATTCAAAGCCCAAATTAAACAAGGGGTATGTGTTCGTCAAGGAAAAAGCCCAACAAAGATGCCAAAAGAGAAGGGAACCGGAAGAAAAGGTTGCACTCCCTCCAACGCCATTTTCATGGTTGGAACCGCAGACGAAATTCGTGACCCTTCCCCTCTTCGCGGACTTTATACAAGAACCTTGCAATGGCATCCTGCTCTACAAGCCCCACGTTATTAAAATGCTTCCTCACCGCCGTGGCAAGCTGATCTTTCGTTACCTTTCCCTGGCCGCGAACAGTAGAAATACGATGCAAATCCATGCCTGGCGCGCTACTGCTATTATCTCCGTCGAGCGATTTATTATTCGTAATATCATCCTTTTTGGAAGACCGGGAGACACTTCCATCTTCAACAGTTTTGCGCCGTGCGGCAAGCTGGGCGCGCCGAGCAGCTATCGTTGTCGGGGAACGGAGACCAATTCCTTGACTTAGAATTATTGAGGATATTTGAGATGAGTAGGCGCTAGCACAAGGGAGGTTGTAGGCATGACGGTACTGGTGAAGAACGGAGAGTGGCATGCTTGACCAATTTATCTGCAAAATTTACGGCCTTCGAGTTAGCACTGTTGGAATTCTATGGCGGAAAAGAAAAATCTGCGGCCGAAGGCCGAGGGGAATTTTTGCGCCCCTCCCAACGGGGCAACATATTAAAGGAGAAATTGGGCCATGAAAATGCTACTAGAGAGCAACCCAAGAAGAACAGGACTTACTCCAACGGGCTCTGTCGAGTTCTCAGTTCCCGCATCGTGACTGCCAGCTGCCGTAACAGCAGCAGCAATTTTCATATCCCTGGATGACATTGAGCTGCCGAGAGCAGCGATGTTTGGCTGTCTACGACCCTTGGTACTCGTTGGATGTCGTTCTCTCGTGCTGCTAGAGGCCTCTGACCTCGAATCTTCAGGATTCGTAGCGGTTCGTTGACGAGGAGGAGCCATGGTTTACGGTCAGGTCAAATTAGGTGAGGAGGTCAAAGGTAGTCACTACTGATGAGTACGGAGGATGGATTATATAATTAAAGAACGTAAAAATGCTTGATAAAAACGAGGGGTATGGGATATAAGTGTCAAATGGTATAATATTATCATGCTGGCACAGTAACACGATATAATATTAGATCACGGGCGAGATATTCACCGTCAGGGGTGAAAACAGCCCCCATTGCGCCCACTCTGAAGCCCGACAAAGAATGCATCATAGGGCGGTGACCCTCGGCAGAATCAATTTCTTGACCACACTAATCCTAAAAAAGTTAAGACCAAGGCGCTAAGCGGTAACCCTAACTGTCGCGGATGAACTTAAAATCCGGGGTACGCTAAACTGTATTAGGGTTGTACCTGAACCACTTCTCATATAATATTTAGAATCAGCCGTCTTTGAGACAAACGAGATGGAACGAACCAGACAACTATCTTCGAGATTTTGCGAACACAGAAAAAGCAACAACGAGCGTTCGTTTCTCAGCAGGCTGCCTGCAGCAAGGAGTGATAGTTCAAAGCATGCATGAGCTTCAATAAATAACACTTCCCGAGTTCCCCTGCAACACTGCATCTTGGTCTAGCTACACCGGCATTTAAATCGCAGCTCCCTTAAGGAGATAGAGGTCATCTCGAACGCATCCGATGCCTTTGCCATCTGCTTACTAACTTGGAATGAACAAACAGATTTCCGTGTGAACCAGAAAGACCAGGGGAATTGATATGATATAAATCCATTGCTATAAACTCCGGCATGAAACTATTGTCCTCCTCTAACTCTTTCCAGTTTTATATTCACACCCACAAAGTCACCCTCGTATTTCTGCCTGTTCATTTCCTGTCACACAGCTTGATGAACAGCATATAAGGACATTCGCCGATTTTACCCGGAATCGCCCACCACATGAATGCGCGCAGAATGACATACATACAAATGGGAACACAGCAGATGACTGGATGGTTCGGCTTTGTGTTTGATCTCTCAGACGTGCGATATTTCTCACCGCCTCGAGCTTGGTAGTTATCCATCCACCTTGCCTTGCTATCAGAATAGCAGCATAAACAAAGCTCAAGGAATAAGCTCTTTTCAAGGATGCAAGCGAGAAAGGGAGCTTAGAAGTGTTGAAGAAAAATAAAATATATAAAAAATAAAAAATAAATAAAAAATAAAAGTTCCCGCCACCTCACAGGAAAATCTGAGATACTCAGCATTTGTGTGAAAGCTTCTGATGGACCTGTGCTTTAAAAAATTAAAGATAAAATATAATAAAATAAAAATAACAAGCACAAAATCGAAGAGGAAAAACTTAGGAAAAAGCGAAAGAAAAGGCAAGAAAATATTAAACTTGCGTATTCATATCGATAATAACAGTTCAAGGCCGGAAAGAGATGAAAGAGAACGCAATCATAAAGTTTCTCTTCACATCCCTTCAGAATCCTTATTTCAGGCGGCATTTCAGCACATCAGGCCAGACAGAGCACTCAAATAATAATAATAATAATAATATGGACGGAACATGACTCCATAGAGCGGAGTTGAATACAGAAGATCTTTGAAACTATTATTTTTGATCTGTCTCCACCCTTTCTTTCTTCTGCACACTTTCACAAGCAAAAAACTCAACAAGACATGTTTAAGTAATAAAACACATGAAATTATGAAAAGAGATGAATGCATAACTCAAACTCATAAAACCACAGAGTGGAAGAAATACCATAATGACAGATTCCAACAGTTATGTATTGAGAACTGGTGAAATTCTCAGAGATCTAGTTGAATAATTTCATATTTTCAGAATTCAATATGGTCTAGGCTGAATCATGATCCTGAATTTCAAAAAAGAAAAAAAAAAAAAAAAAAAAAAAGAGGAGGGGGGAAGGAGGAAATAAAGGAAAAGAAACAAGGAAAAAATCGGGAGCAAATATACAATTGTCAATTGCCGGCATCAACTCAGCCACTGTAGATGCAGCAATGATGATGTACTCATCTCGTGATGGGACAGCCAAAACGCTCTGTAAATTCATGAGCAATAGAATAGCTATGACTTCATTGATTTATTCATTCATCCATCTGCGAAAAGGCCTCCACTCCTTCGCGTCTACTCCGTATACGGGGGAAGATTGATCTCTAGGACGAGAATTGTGCCCATCTCAGCCCTGGGTAATAAATAATCGGAAAGGGAAGGGGAGGAGGGTTTGGGAGAATGATGCGACTTATTAACAGGTTCACTCTCGGCCTATGGAAGTGAACGTAAGCATAGCCGAGGCGGTGATCACGAAAGGTGCCGACAAATTTCATTTTTTTCTTTTGTGTTGAGCAGTTTATTTTCCCTTTTTTTTTTTCAGTATCATTGTTTTACCCTGCCTAACTTTTTTGCATTAAACATAACAACCAGGGCATAAGGCGCTACCTTGTTTTCAGGGTTAATAGAAATTCTCTTTGCTGCCTGTCAGGGGCCAGGGCCACCACAACCCCCCAGAACAGAACAGTACGGAGTAGCATCAAACAGAGTTGCAACGCAAGCCGGAGAACCCTCGGCCTTTCGCATTTTCCCTAAATTCAGGAACGCAAGCGACATGGGTTCATTGCGGAGAAGGGTAAAATCTTCTCCTAGCCTGCTTCTTTTTTTAGATTACATACGCTGGTTTTGCAAATATTATTAGTTACACATCTAGTAAACATATTTCCAAATGCGCAACGGGAGCATGACGATCATGTTCTGCAACATCACCCGCGCTGGTTTGGCAAAAAAATTTGAACCCGAGACGAAAGTCACCGCGGGTCTTGAAAAAAGCAAAGAAAATGAATGAAGGGAAAGCCCCTTCAACCTAACAACTGTTCCACCAGTTACCATTTTTTTCCCCTTTCGCTCATGCGCACACCGTGGCCTTCTCTCCTTCTGTGATTGCGCAGATAACCTCGTCGTTCAGCTTGCGGATGGGCTTTTGGGCAGGAGCTGGCGAATGCTACATTGACAAGCGCCGTCGTGAAGCAACATGGGGACTGGATTCGGTTCCGATTGGCCATGGCATAGAGCCAGGATTTTCGTTCTAGAAGGATAAGAATAATATAAACTTATTTACCTAGCCTTTCTGATCGACTGACCTCAAAAACCTTCAAGATCCGCCTTGCGAAAGATTGATATTTACACTTGGAAAAAAAACCGCTACTATATAGTTACCCAGCCGTATATAATAAATTACTAGTGTTCTCAAGTAGATCTTGAAGTTGTGAAGAACTCTGTGATGTACAGTATAATTCTCTACATCTCTAATCTAAATCATCTCATTCTCAGATTTCTATCATGATTTAGAGCTGTCAGATCTGAGCTCTTACCACCTAAATCAAAAAGATCATAAAACAGCTGACTTCTGCCAGTCATGCCTGATGCTTCATGTGTATTAGTGTGGCTTGCTTACTCCAGCTTCTGAACTTCTCGGCTTTCTATTTTTACAGCCTATCAGGTCCCAGGCGGCTCTACCACCGAAATTAAAATGATTATAAAACAGCTAGCTTCTTACTAACTATAGCTAGCATTTATTCTGTGTCTGTCTTCAGCCTCAGTGTAACGGTACGCCCCGGGGCGCTAGGCGCAGGAGCAGGCAAGCCACAACTATAAGAATTGGGTGCCGGGCGCGGCTGGCAAGGAGCCAGCCACCTTATGTTAGAGTCCGGACCCGGCAGCTTATAACCATGGCACTCAGAGCCTATCATTACAATTCCTCTAACTGTAATTAGCTCGGGAGTCAGAGCAGACAAGTAAGACACACCATATAAAAATGAGTGCCAGATACAATTACCACTCCACGACAGCAATATATAAAATTTAACCTGCATGTTCTTCACCACATCACACCCTCCCGTACACTCAACGTCCTTCACCATCGTCCAGATATGTACACAACCAGCGTTTCATGCCTTATCACAATAAAAGTCCTGGTTCCCCCTACAGTCAGCTAGGTCTCTTCGGGAGTTCCTCTCTGTTATGCTCCCCGGTTGTGTATATTGTATTGTAGACAAAAGGCAGGAACTGCCCTTGCGATTGGGCCGGAGAAAACAGCGGGTTGAGGCGTGATTGAAAGAGATAGGGCAAGATACCTATCCTTTCAATTCACTCCCTTCGCTGATATATCTATGTATATATATATTTTTTATACATATTACGCGTAGGCTCTGAACGGGGCAGCTAGCAGGTAGATTTCTAGAAGAGCTATCTTATGAGAGGGCTAGAGTTAGCTACATCATTTAAGAGAAGAACTAGACATAAAACAAAGCCCTCTTTCACTTACATGTGATCATGTTTTTCACCACCTTTTTCAAAACATTTGCCCTGCAAAGATGTATCGTGTAGGGCACTACTGCAGCACTGACAGTCCCGAATAATGGGGATTTTCCTAGTTTAATTGAAAAATGGAAAAATGAATGTCAGCAATTCGCGCATGAATTGAAGAGATGTGAGTGAGGAAATTGACATTTTTGATAGTTTGTAGTTCCGGGGGAAATAAATCATGAAACATACTGGCAAGCTGATTTTCTCAACTGAAGAAAGACCCTCTGCTACGGTCTCGCTAATCAAGGCCGGCTCACGAGCTTTACAGCGCTTCATTAGTTAGATAACATATTATGTAGATGGGATATGATAGCCGATGAGGCAATGAAAGCATCGCAGATCTAGCTCCTTCCATACATGCCTAGATAGGTAGTTTATCTCACGATAGAAGACATGATGATGATGAGATGTGATAACCAGCTATCATTGAACTGCGTAGGCAGATAAGTTAAGCCCTGCCTCGCTCATTTCCCGCTCGTGATTATCAATTATCATCATCATAGTCTGTTTGTAATGCATTTTCGCAATGTCAAACTAGAGTCATGATCAAACCGGACCTTCGTCTACTCCTGATGAGTGAGGCTTCAATTTTGATATCGTTATCACTTGAAAGTTTGCAAAGTTGAAATTTTGACCAAGACAGACAGAAAAGAAGAAATAAAGGGATGATATGTTTTGCATGTAATGTTTTGCATGTAATGATGTTGCCTGGTGTTATGAACTTCAAGAATTCAGTGTTGCTGGGGAGAATGAGATTGTAAAGAGCTACTCACTTACGTGATAACTACATATTCTCATAACTAGTGCATTCTGAGAAACACTCATCTTTTTCCATCTTTTATCCTTCCTCTTCTCGATAGATAGATAGAAGAATGAACTTATTCTCTTTTCCTTACAAGATTGCCTGATTCAGACATAGTGTACTTGCAGAATTTCGCTCAGCATCTTACAACAGATAAGAGTTCATTCAGACGAACCCCTCTCTTCCTTGACAGAGATGTAGCTAACTACTGAACACGAGATTCCCGGGCCGAAAGGCGTGCTAGCTTATCACACAATTTCGCAGCCAACATTCCTGCTCTAGATGGTTTGCAGCCTTGCCCTGTCTACCAAGAGTAGAATTCCCTTGAGCAGCCGGCGGGGGCCGGAAAAGGAAAAAGTTGGCAAAGCTTTCTGTTATCACTACCTAGGGATATAGAATATAAGAGAAAGGATTGGTGTTGATATATACCAGGTTGCGGCCGGCGTTATCAAAGTTCAGGTCAGACCACACTCACTCATACATGTACCTGTACATTACATTGCCCATGAAAAGGCATGATGTGTTGGGAGGTGTGTTGGGCCAAGAAGAAGCGACCGGTTCGATTGCGGTCTTCGACCACCACCTCAATTCTTTACCAGGGGGGAGATAGCTGTGGGTTGTTTGAGTAGAAGGGATGGGTGGCCGGGTGGCGCAGAATATTCATCATCATGTTGGTAAGTGGGCTGTTTACATAGTTTTATCCTGGAAGATTTCAAATATTTGCCATGCATGAGCTCCTTGCTGAGTTATCTGACTCCTTGTCAAAGTAGTATGAATGGTTTGCCATGCATCATCAAGGATGAATTAAAGTGGTGATTAGCACATGTTAAGTGAGATAGTGAGAGGGTTGAATTATCTCTCAAATCATTTTGAACAAGTGTTAGTTGATCTCAAAAGCTTTCAGAAACTCAACTAATAGACATTGCAATTATTTTTCATGTATCTTATTCAACAGATTCATTTTAATGTTCATATCTCAGAAAGTCATATATCTTCGGTTTCACTCTAATCTTTTTATCAGATCACAAGAATATCAGATATATTCATATTCTCATACTTATCACTGAGGAATTTATCTCAAAGAAGTTCATTCACATGTCAATGTTCAACAATCTCTGCAATGAGATTTTCAAGAATATCAAATCTTGCACATGAGGACATTAGCTGTGATTAGTAGATTCTTGATAAAGAATGATTTCTCAAGAATGATTCTTGAACAACAGTCACAGCAGTAGCAGAAGTACATAATGAAGCGAAACTCTCTCAGAGATATGTTGCTCCATAAAAGCGCCATTATACTCTTTGTGGTGCAAGGTCAAGGGTCACTGATGAGTCCCTTCACAGTTGTCAGCTTGTTTAATGCTCTTCTTCATATCTTCATTTGAAGTATGCATATACATACATCACCGGGTCCCCGGGCCTCGCGTGGGCAATGAGGGTTATCTCTTGTTCCTCAAGGTGTAGAGGTCCTTAACCGCTACTATCAATCAATCTCACCATCGTTCCCATCCACGGAACACATGGATATTCCGTATACTCGAGTCCGGGTGTGGATGGACGACATTAGATCATCTTGCAGTACTTTTGAGTGAGAAGAAGTAGAAACCCTATAAGCTTATAAACAGCTCTGCCTGGAAATATATCGTGCGGGGAAATATCATCACCATCCCTTTTTCCCAAGCCACTATTCATTCACTCCAGGCATTGTCTGATCATCAGCGAATCTCCATAGGTTTCGCCTTTCCAGTGATTGAGAATCGACTCACTGGTCATAGCTGCTCAGAGTCCATGCGCGAGGCCGCAGGGTCAGTGCTTTTAACCTCAAGGTCCAGATGTCCAGCCGGCAGTTGCTGCTAGAATAAAAAGCTCATGAGGATAATGAGGATAAATAGGGAATGTCTCAGTCTAGTCCAACGCTACAATTGGATACAAAGACATCAAGAACTGGAAAACGGAGATTTCCCCTGCCGGATAAGATTTGTTATAGTCGAAGCTTCAGATTGCAGCGCTGATGAGGCGGACTTGATAAGAAGCTCAGGGGCATCTCTTCAAGGTGGAATCTTGTAGATCGATTGTAATGGAAGCCTATCATGGAATTGAGTGAGAACGTGAGACCTTGAACTGGAGGGGACATAGTTCAGGTGCCGTTTGAGATTGGCGCCAGCTACATAGTTAACTTACATATTTGGATTTTTATTTTTATTTTTTGACTTTTTTTTGACTTATTTAGCATGCCAAATCAGGTCAAAACCACTTATATTGCAAGGCTTCAACCCGGCAACTATCTCTTCCTACTGCTCTGTATTAATATTATACCCGAGTACCTTTTCTGTTAATATTTATATGCCGCATGTAAGCAGAGATTTCAATCTAACCCAGAGACGAGGATAATGTAAGCACTTGACTTCTCCTGTACAGCAACCCGTCTCTGTGAAGATATCCGGTTTCCAGCGCCGCTCAGCACGACAGGGAAATCCGTGGCTATTCGTTATGTTATTATGGGTGGGTCTCGGCCGCAGACGCCAAATCGGCTAGTAGTAAACTCACGCAAAAGTCGGGGAATCAAATATATTGCGAATCCTGGTTATCACCGGCAGCTGACTGCAGCACCCACGTTGTGAGAAGTTTTCTTTTTCTTTGTCTTTTTTCTTTTTCGTTTTTTTCTTTCGTTGGGAGACAAATCCGGAAGATTCGTCCGAGAAGTGAGTGTTTTTTCCCAGAATTCGCCTAATACATACCGTATCCCGTATCCCGTAACTTGTTTAAGTGGGACGACGGGATGTTGTTGTTGCTTGCGGAAACAGCGCGGGCGCGGAGACAAGGTTTGCTAGCACTGTATGAGAACTATAAAAAAGAAAAAAAAAAAAAAGAAAAAAAAAAAGAAAAAAAGAAAGGAAAAGACAAAAAGAAGCGGGGGATCGGATCAAGCAGCAGCGGGACTGCCTAGCAGCTTTCCCCGTGAACATTGACCCAAACAACGATGGAGATCGTAGAGCACAATTGAACTTCCATGCGGCTACCGCGGGCAAATGGATGTGGAGAGGAAGTCAACTCTATGAAGTATAACTCTTTGTTTCTGTTGAAACGAAGCTTCGGCCGAAACTGATCAAATATTCATACTCCCCCGCTTCTTCTTTCTGTTGTTGATGGTGATCATGATGGTTATTATCATTATTATCATTATTATCATTTTTCTTTTCTTTTTTTTTCTTCTCACTTCTGACATGCCTCCCGCCGCCGCCACCGCCGCCGCCGCCGCCACCAACAACCAGCATGCATGCATTCCATCCACCCCCATGCCAAAATCCCAAACAACCGGGAACGGGGATTGTATCCCAGAAAATTCCCCCATCCCCATCCTCCGCAAAAAATGGAGATTAATAATAACGATGCCCCCATATATTCTCAATTGGCCGGGGTAATTTTCAAGTCATGAGAGTAAGAGTAACGATCATCAATCATCAGTAGTAATAAAGATCTGTAATTCCATTGAATACCTCACCACGACGCTTCTTTTCACTGTTCCAGCCTTGGTCTCAAAATAATAATAATAATAATAATAAAAATAAAAATAAAAATAAAATAAAATAAAGAGAACTAAATTGCCGCAACGCAGCTCTTTCATAGACAATGAACTTTGGAAGCAATGATGATGAATGAACCATGAAGATTCAAATGGCCATCATTTTGAAGGGGGTGAAAAAATACAAACTCTGTACGCTGCGTAAGTCATAATTCACTTTTGAGGAGGTTTGAGCAAAATAAAATTGCCAAGATAGAGTCAAAAATCTCCATTTATTCATTATTTGTTGAACATAACTAAACACCCACCCACAATGGAAAATCCCTTGAATGAGAAAGAGAAATCTGACGACGCCCCCACACTGTTCTGGTCATCATTTGCTCAATTCATCACATCATTTCCTGCCAATCTTCTTGGGTTTGGATTCAGGGGACTAATAAGCTTAGCTTTGATAAAAACTAAATTCTTGTAAAAAAAAAAATAATAATAAATAATGATAATGAATGTTACAGCAAATCTAGCGAGTAATTATGAGCATGCTTTGAGAGAAGAAATATGATTTTATATAATATGAATGAAGTAGAAAGCATGAAGTATGAGAGAGAATAGATAGAGAGATACGTGTACATATCTTATATATTTAATTCATTTCTCAATAAGTTTGAATTACACTAGTCTCAAAACACTTTGATATGCTCTGTTTTATTAAAAATACTACAATTTGTAAAAAGGTTTTTGTATTCAGAGCTGGAATTTTTCTAATTTTGCATATCTGAAATTGGTAAATGTATACGGAGTACGGAGTATTAGTTAGCTGAATAAGTACTAGAAAAACCCTGAGAGCTGAAGTAGATGTCATAGTCTCTGACTGCATACATCTATAATTGAAGAAGAAGAAGAAGAATAAGAATAATAAGAATACTCTGTTTTATTATCATAATTAGATATAATTCTCTCAATACTTCGCAGTCACATAATTCAACATTAAATAGATAAATTATACAGAATTCTCTCATCTATTGAATTTCACATCTCTTTTGAAGAAAATGAATAGAATAGAATAATAACTTCAAGAGGTATATTTAAGCATCATGTGGCTTTATAACTTCTGGCTAATTACTCTGGATTTAACTACCTCGAGACTAGTGTAATTTGGCTGAAAGTCACTGTACATATTGAAAGTAAATTAGCATATGCGTAAAAACAAGCGAGAGATCGCTAAGAGAAAAGCCACGACCACCACCATCGCCACCCACCCACCTCACCTACCCCACCCCCAAACCCCCCAACCAACCCCAACCCAAACTAATCCTTGGTACCTTTTTGGAGGCCATCTGGGGTAAGGTAACTTCATCGATTCGAGCTATCTAGCGGAGCTGAAAATCCGGAGAAAACTCTTGGCCTCCATCAGGCATGGTTATCGTGATGGGAGTTTGCCAGTTATTAACTACGTACGCAGTATTCCATAGAGGGATCGGTTAAAAAATAAACTAGTGGCGGTCGTTACTTTTGGGCGCTCTGGGGGAAAAATGATATTCTTGGAAAGTGGGCTTTTGTTACATGCATACAGAGTCCAATATGCATCTCTATTATGTTGGTTTAATCGTGTTTTCCTTGTCGTTACATGTCCAGGTGGTGGAGAGCGAAGCGACAAAAGGGAATTTGTGGGGAAAAAAAAAAAGGAATCAAACAATCTTGATTGTCAGCGTAGAGTTACATGGTGTTGTTTGTTATCGCTTCTTTATACCCGAGATATTGGTTTTTTTTTTTTTTTTTTTTTTTCTTTACGCTTCGCTTCAGTTCAGTTCAGCCGCGGACAAGGCCTGTGGAGGCGAGAGAGAGAGTTTAATCCTAGATAGGATAGGCGGAGGCTCCAGGCGGACTTAAAATAGAAGCGGGGGGAATACGTCTTACGCGTAGCAGACGCGTAGCAGAGGCCCTTATTTTGATGCTGAAACGTTTAACCAGGAGTCTCAGCGCGAATCAATCTTCTTCTCTCTAACTCGTATGAGTTCAACTTTGTCTTCCAACAGGAATCAGAAGATGGGGTTTCCGGGGCGCATGACTGATTGATTGGTTTTCAAGCTGTCCAGCAAACGACAAATAGAATCATGCCGACGCTCGCACATCCCAGGTTGTTCGCTTATTAGGGGGTCCCCTACGCCTCAAACGACTGCGGGCCTCATCCCCGGATTCTCCCATCCGGCCCGCCCAGCCCAACAAGTCCTTCAAGGGTGTTGTCAACTCTCTGACAATTTATTAGTCTGTAGAGAGACTAGAGAGTGGGGGGAAGGGTGGGATGAAACTGAGAAAGTATGGGGTTTCGGATATTTTGACTTGTATCATCTTTAGTGTTTTTTTTTTTTTTTTTTTTTTTTTTTTTCCTCCCCAAAACTTCCTTGTTAAAATTGAATAGTATAGTGCAACAGATGCGGAAGACCCCTTATCATCTCCCAAGGTGTTTTGAATGGTCAGGTTTCTGATATGGGGTTTTCTGGGGTTAAAAAGTTACACTCAACCTTTTTCTTCTCCTGTTCCTTTCGATTTTGGGGGGGGGTTGCAAAATTGCAACCCTCATTGGCGAGGATTATTGGGAGGATTACATTGTGCTTGCTCGCGAGGCGGGACTGCAATGCCCGATGTGTCATTGTTGAGTTTAAATGATGTGACAGTTTTGGGGGGAAGGAATGCTGAGGCTGGCACGAACGCGCGTGGGTTGCTGGTGACTTTTGAGAGGGTGGTGTGCGGGCTCGGATGCCAATAATAATGATGGACTGCATTGCATACCCACCGGTTGGAAGGGCACGATAGGTTGCGATGACACTTGATGAGAGAGAGGTTACGCGACGGAAATTTTAAAAGCGCCTGCCCCGGGCGCCTGGCGTCGGTGATGATGGGGTGACAAGGGACATTGGTGGAAGGAATTGGTTGGGGGTCAACAGCTAGAACTGGAACTTGACCTTGAACTTGGAGGGTTTGAGCTGGCAGGCTTCAAATCTTGAGCTTTTCATTTTCTTTTCTTTTTAGTGTTTGCTTCATTTTCTCCTCTTATGATCTCTCTGGCTCTCTTGCGGGCGTTCGGGTTTTTCCCTTGCCGCGGGTAACCAGTGATGTAACTAATCAGCAAGGTCAGACAAGAAGAGATATAATAATTGAGGCGGTGAGCGCATACAAAATTGAGTGACTCAAGACCTGAGATTGAGTTGAAAATAACCATGCACTTTCTTTATTTCAATGGCTCAAGCTTTTTTTTTTTTTTTCCTTTCATTTAGACGTTAGCATTGATCTGATAAATCTGATAAATAATCTGATCACAGGCTAGACCTGATTTCTGCAGAAGTGCTTTCTATGCTCGTTGTCACTATCTATGCATGATCACTGTGCATGTGCTGGATGGGATGTGCAGCGCCTTAATAAGTGATCGGGCAACTTTGAGTAAGTGACGAACTCTATTCCGTACACGCCATTTTTCGGTACGGCTGGCAGGGCGTGATCGGTCTTTTGCAAAAATACACAAAAACCAAAAACAGCAATCACTAGAGAAAATTCTTTCATTCAAAAAAAAAAAAAAAAAAAAAAAGAAACTCAACCCGATGAGTAGCAGCGGCTGAAAACGGACTCACCACGCCTGAATACAATTTTAACTGCAGTTAGTTAACTATGCTCAAAAACACTCGAACGAATCTGACATAATTTTCGTTCAAGAGCTTTCCCCCGATTTCAATTATCTAATTATCTTAACGCCAGAGATTTCCCCTGAGCAATCCACAATGTTGCAAGCAGATGTTCTCAATAATATACTTTTCCCTAAGTATGGACGTAATCTCAGGTGAAAAGAAACAAAGAGAATCGTGAGTGAATAGCAGTATATAGAGCACAGGCTAAAGAACAGGTTGAGTGCAGAGTATTTAGTATTTAAAGTAGAAAGTAATGAATTCAAGCTAAAACTTCTGTAAAAAAAAGTGAGAAAAAATAATAATGATCAGTTTCATTCTTCAGTCTGTTGTGTAATATACTAATATTAATATCATGCCACTTATGAGTAGTTTCAAGCTCTTAGATAATATGAAAGAATGAAAGAAAATAACAGCTTCAGGTAAATTCACAGCTCACAGAATTCAAAGATAATCAGCTAATATTATTATTATATGTGATCACAGACTTCTTTCATTTCTCTAAAAAGTTTGAAATCATGATAATATGTGAGAGAGAAATATAAGTAGGTAAATGAAATTATGAAACAGGGAAGATTTTCTTTTTACAGAGTTTAAAGCATAAAAAAGAAGAGAGAGATGATAAGATACTCTTACTGAAATATGAAGAACACATGTCTATACCTACTAACTATCAATTTCTGTTCTTCTCTCATTTTTAACATGTGATAATTATTAGTGATCAATCACTAGCTTAGCTTAGAATACTTGAGTTTTGAACTAAAAAAGTAACTTAACTCACAGTGAACTCTGACTTTATCTATCATCATCTTGTTTCTGAGTCATAATGACATGCTTGTGAATACATGATAAGTAAAATAGATTAGATACAGAGAACAGCTCTAATAGAATGAACAAGCTTTTAAAATAGATATACACAATTCTACCTCAGCACCTGAATACTTGAGCTAAGTAGCTACTTCTCTACTGTGTGTACTCACTCACACACACATCTACTCCTCCCCCCCTCCTCTCTTAGTACAACTCAGAGCTGCTTTCTGCCTGCTTGTGACTATTCTCGCATACGTATCATATCAGAGACTCTGTTCCAGCCCACGAGGTTAGTTAGCAATAGAAACTCCTGGGCTAAATGCACTCCCCAGTCTACTCCGTGCATAACTTATTTATACCCCGCCTCTCTCTCTCTTGTCTCTACTCCGTGCTTCTCATCTAACTCTGGAGGAATATTGGAGATGTAGCACCAGAGGAGCATGTATGTACAAGTTAAAAAGAGAGCTCTGAACAGTGATAACAGCAGCAGTTGTAATCTCAACTTCAATATTTAAAGTTATCATAATGATGACAAGATTATAGCTCACTCTGCACAGTTAAAAGCTTTGAACTTATAGTGACTGATTATATTTTATTCGTTTACTCAACAAATACAAAAGCTTTCAGTTAGATTAATATGATATTTACAAGGCCTAGTTACTGCGTACATCATCAACAGTGCTTGAATCATAGCAATCTAAAAAATTCCACGCAACAACCTTCTGTATCACGATGAGTAAGCGAAAAAATTTCCATTCAACCTCTTCCAACATTTCCCGGAAACACCAGCGGTAAAACCCCAACAACAACCAAACAATTGACAGGGGGTGTTCCGGGTTATTTTCGTGCAAGCGGGCGGATTAAAGTTATCTCCGAGCGTTCCCCCAACGGGCGCCCGGCTTTCCCTTCCCCTTTCTGGGTGCATTTTTGTTTTTTGAAAAAAAATAAATTTGAAAAGAATTCCTCCGCCCCGCGTTCGTATGTTACGTAAGCCGGCGCGCCTTATTAGTTACGCCTTGGCCTTGGACGCCTCCCCGCGGCCCGATGATGAGGGTTTGGTTTTGGAGTTGCCTAGGTATAATTTTTTATTTTTCTTTATTATAGTATTTGAGGGGGAGGGGAGGGGGGGGGGAGGCGCTGTTAGTGGTGAGGGGGCAAAAGGGAGAGATGAATGAATATTCAAACATTCTAGATGAAAGCAAAGAGGGAAGGAAGAAAAGAGGTAGGGTAAAAGGTAAGCCACAATAAATGATTTGTATCAGAATCAGGTTTTATTGTTCTCATTTCCATACCATTCCGACGCTTGGGAACGAACGTGGGCGGCATGGAGGATCATTTGAATGGCAAACGGCAGCGGGCACCGGCATGCATGGTATGTATACAGGCATGGAGTAGATGTAGATAGATAGCTTGGATAGACATGGCCCGCGGAGTAGTATGATCATCATCAGAGCACGCACGAGGGACCCGGGGCGTGGTTATGAGTGCTCATACTTCCCCCCCCTCTCTCTTCCCATCTCTTTTTTTTTTTTTTTTTTTTTTTTTTCGTTTTTTTATTATTTTACTTCTTTTTATTATTTTGAGCGGGGGTCTGTGGGGGCGCTGCCGGATCGAATGCGAATACGGGGGGGGTGGGTGGGTGAGGTCACTGAGGTGAGGGTGCGTGATGGGTGAGGTGGGGAATTCCACTCTGCAGAGGCTGTGGTTTATTGAAGGCGATATATGTGGATAACTAAGCAAGATTGTATGTACTAACTAGTTTGCTCGCAATAAATGAGGGCCTGTAACGACGTCTGGGGTGTTGGTTGTATAGTGACTTGACACGTGTATACAAGTCAGAGGATGGATATAGTGAGCAAGCCCGGGAACTTGCCTATTCAGCTACATAATATAATAATAATAATAATTATACCTAGGGACATTCAAAAGTATTTAGCGAGAGGGTACAGAGTACATGTGCATGGAGCCATGCCAGGTACCATTTGCCTGGAATTCTCAGATGTAACTGCAAATACAAAATGTCACGGCGGAGATCTCCCTTTTCCCTTCAACTATTTAATTTTCTTCACTAACTACTAACTACGGAGTAGTCATTTCCCATTTGCCCCAGAAAATCCTTCCCATGTCAAATTAAACTCCGAGACTAGTAAGTCATTTTTTCTTTTTCTTTTTTTTTTTAAAAAAAAAAAAAAGGAAGAAAAAAAGAATAACTCACCCAATCCCGGCGCGCATCTGCATCCCCCGTGGTGAGCTGCGCTGGGGGTCCAGGGCTGGGTCCAGGACTCCAGGGAGGGTGGTATAGGCAGCGTAGGTATGACCCAGCTACGTGAACACGCCACTTCATTTGGGCTGCAAGTGACATTGGGTTGGACCTGATAAGCAGGGGCCCGCCCACATCTTTTTGGTAAAAAGAACAAATCTTATATTCCCCTCTATTCAACAGAGAGGAGAGGAATGATGAGATGGCAGAGTAGAGTAGAAAGAAGCGAGCCGTGCGTGGACAATAGACATGAGAGGGAGAGTGTGGAGAAAGCCCCCCCTTTTTTTTTTTTTTTTTTTTTTTTTTTTTTTTTTTTGGGCTTCTCACTCTCCGCGTTTCTCGGTACGGCCTCGGGTACAAGTTAGTCGCAGTAACAGCGGTAACTTTCTGGGAACTACGGAGTAGTTACTGGGTAACCTTTTCGTCCGTCATCGTCGTGCCTGGCAGAACCACCTAGACCACATGTAAATTTGCAGCCCTTTTTTCTTGTTTCTTGTTTCTTCCGTTTTGCAAAAAAGGGACCAGCGGGGCGAAATATTTGTAAGGGCAGAACGGTCGTTCGGTACAAGGTACAGGTACCTGCACAGCAATAGTTAATAGTAGAGTAGGTAACAAACAATGACTGACACATCCGCATCCAGGAAGAAGAAACAACGTTCTGTCCCGACTTTTTTTCTTTTCCCTTTTCCCCTTTTTTGCAGATTGTTTCCTAATTTTTCCTCTTTTCCGTCCGTCCCCCCCCCCCAAGCCGCATCCTCTCCTTCCTTCCTTCCTTCCTCTCCAGCTTGTGACTGACTGACTTGTGCCGCCACCTCCAGCTTTTTTATGTTCTTCTTCTTCTTCTTCTTCTTCTTGTTGTTGTTGTTGTTGTTGTTTGTTCTTCTTCTGCTTCTTATTATTACTAACTATGTCATGACAATAATATCATCCATCCATCCTCCTTCTTCCTCTTCTTCCTCTTCTTCCCCTTCTTCCTTCTGCTGCTGACTACCCCCCGACTACATATTAATTAAGTTAAAAATTGCCAACCAGACCCCCCTTTGTCTTCTTTTCCTCTGATTTATTGCCTCATTTGTTATTTTTATTTTATTTCCTTTCTTCTTGCTCTTCATTATTATTATAATAAATAAGCTGGACTGTCCCCTCCAGGCCCTCTCTTTCCCCCCCCCCCCCCCCAAACTTTTCTCCCCCAATCGTTCGCCTATTTTGTTGGGTCAAGCCTTTGGTCCTTTTACCAACTACTAACGGAGGGAATTATTTAACATGACGTCTACTACTAGCGGTGGACCGACCTCTTGTCTCTCTCCATCAAGTCCCAGCGCTGCCACTACTACTAATACCGCTACAAGGCGCCTATTTTCTATTTTCCTCCCCTCCATATTCGTCTCTCTTCTATCATCGTCAACTATTTATCATTACCATCATCATTACCATTACCATTACCACCACCACTACAACTATCACTACTTCTCCTGCACTCTACCAGGAGATACAAGGCATCCAAAATACCTCTCAGCTTGCCCACTGTCATCCCGGTGTAAATGCCACGGCCATCCACTGCAGTAGATTTCTCGAATCTGCTGAACCCGCAGGTTGACGACTCAAAGAAGCGGCCTGCTTCTGCTACAACTCTGACTTCCTCCCCTTCTTCAACGACGATGACAACAACAACAACAACAACAACCTCTCCCTCCACTCCTACCACTACCACTCCAGCCATGGCCTCTTCCACAGTCAGCCTGTTACCGCCGTTGGCAAAAGGTGGCCGTGCAAGCGGTGAAGAACCACGACAAAGCCTCCCTCGCCCGTACAAGTGTCCTCTTTGTGACCGTGCTTTCCACCGCCTGGAACACCAGACACGCCACATCCGCACCCATACCGGAGAGAAGCCACATGCCTGCCAGCATCCAGGCTGTTCCAAGCGGTTTAGCCGGTCAGACGAACTCACCCGCCATTCTCGCATCCACAACAATCCAAATTCGAGGAGAAGCCACAAGGCTGCCCACCACCAACAACAGCAGCAGCAGCAGCAACAACAGCAACAACAGCAACACATTGCTCCCACCACCACAAGAGCGGATAGACCACACACCACCGCAAACTCCCCGTCGAGGGATATGATGCCTCCCCCTGGTAAACCCATGACCAGGTCAGCACCTGTCTCGCAGGTGGGCTCGCCAAATGTGTCTCCGCCGCATTCGTACACCAACTACGCTTCGCACATGCCATCCAGCCTAGGTCCCTACAGCAGAGGTGTATCCGAGAGACCGTCGACCACTATGGATATCAACATGCTAGCCACCGCAGCATCACAGGTAGAACGCGATGACCACTCATCAGGATACCACCTCTCTCCACACCAGGTCCGCAGCAGCCTGTACAACACTACCAGCCAAAGACCACATCACTACCACCACCACCATAACACCAGCGGCCGCCTACCTTCTCTCTCCGCCTACGCACTCTCCCACTCCATGGCCCGCTCTCACTCCCACGACGACGAAGACTACAGCCACCGCGTCAAACGCTCCCGCCCTTCCTCTCCAAATTCCACCGCTCCTTCGTCCCCCACCTTATCCCATGACTCGCTCTCCCCAACCCCAGACCACACTCCGCTAGCAACCCCTGCCCACTCACCCCGTCTCCGACCATTCGGGAGCAGCGACCTCCAACTCCCCTCCATCCGCCATCTATCTCTCCATCACACCCCAGCTCTAGCACCTATGGAGCCACAGACCGACGGCATGAACCATATGAACAATCACTACGTTTCCCCTCAGCATATAGGACCCAGCATCAGTGACATCATATCCCGCACAGATGGAACGCAGCGCAAGCTCCCGGTCCCTCAGATCCCCAAGGTTGCTGTGCATGATATGCTAAATCCTGGAAGTGGGTTTTCCTCGGGCAATTCATCGGTCACGGGATCGATAGCCGGTGGTGATTTGGCGGAGCGTTATTAAACCCACCCGCCAAAAAATGAAAATAAAAATAAAAATATAAAAAATAAAAAATAAAAAGAACAGAAAAACAGAAAAACAAAAAGAAAAAGAAAACAAAAAGAAACAAAAAGAACAAAAAAGACATATGTTACCCCTTGCCTTTTTTTTTTAGAATAATCTTTAGACGGTGGTACGAGTAGAAAACTTGAACTTTACATATAGATTGGGGAGGGTGGAAACATTTTGGATTTCTCCTCTTTTTTTCCTTTGCCTCTCACGAAAACTTGTCTTTGCAGGGTTATCTTTCCTATTTGTCTAACTCCTTCTCTTTCCCGTCTTTTTTGTTGGTTTGCTTTGCCGGTGCTTTCAGCGATGCTTCGTTCGGAGTCCAAAAAACTATAGACGGATGGGATTAAATTTGCTGGGATTTTCATTTACAATCACGCTTGGATTTTTTTTTTTCCCTTCTACTTTTCTTCCATTGTTTTGCTAATAAATTTCTTTTCTTCTCTTTCCTCTTTTTTGTTTTCATTTCAAGCTTCTCTCTACTCTCATGACTCTATATATTTTCGCCTTGTTCAGCTTTTTTTTTTTGGCATTGGAAAGACTTTTTGAAGAAAGAGAAAAAATAAAATCACACATGTTCTTCCCTCTTCTTTGAATCCATTTTGCTTTCGGAAAAGCGAAAAGGAAAAAGCAAAAACTATATTTTACAAAAATTTTAATGCGCAGAGAGAAATGGACTCGAGATATATATAATATTTCATGACTTGAATGAAGCGAGTCCAAAAAGGGGAAAAGGGGGAAGATGTGAGTTTCAGCTGATTGATTGACTGATTGATTGATTGATTGATTCTCTCTTCTCTTTCTTTTTTCATTTTTGAAATTAATAGAAAACATCTTCTCTCTTAATAATAATCTATCTATATAGAAAATAAATAATCAGAAGAATTTTATTGTATGATTATTGCCGCATTATACATCTATCGTCCGGGTATGTACGGTATTGTACCGAGGTATACTGTGTAGCTAACCTACCTAGGAAGTTACTCTATGTATGTATGTATGTATGTATGTATGTATGTATGTATGTATGTATGTATACTCGTATACTGTACTGAAGCTTCCCCCCGGCCGTTAGAAGTTAGGCACTGAGACGCGGGCCGAGGGCGGACGGAGAGAGAGGGATAAAGGCATCAGGCAACGATATTAATTTTCATTGAGTCATGGCCAATGTTGGGTTGGGCACTGCGAGGTTGGCTTGGATGTTGTGGCTTTTCTGCTGGTTAGGTTACTGGACGGAGTAATGTAACCCACTCAAGCTGAGAAGGAGACAGACACTATATACGTACTTTACTTACTTGCCTTGGTCTTGGTCTTGGTTCTGGTCTGGTCTGGTCTGGTTTCGAGATCATATTATCATATCGATCGGGGGTATCCAACTTCGGTTTTCTTGGGTTATTATTAGTTTGTTCATAAACTATTTAACTAGGTTCTAGCTAGGTATTAACTAAGTTAGTTACTTCTTGTGAGTGTAAGAAAAGAAAAAGACAGTCAGTTCCCCCAAATCCTAACCTCTTACCCCGTTCCTGTGGTTGGTCCCGGCATCCCGGCATCCCGTCCCGAAGGAGATGTCATTGCACGAACGATGGGGGGATTGATTATTAGGTAGTTATTCATATCCTCCTATTCTATCTCTATCTAGGTACGGGGGCGGGCCCCACCCGGGCAAGGGAAGAGATTCAAGTCTGGCCAACGGCGATAGCGATGGGCCATGGCCATGACGATTCATCTATCGCCACTCTCTCTAGAGACCTCTACCAACCCTCTTCCCTACCCCCCGTCCGAGGCATGGAGCATGGAGCATGGAGCATGGATAGAGATGCCGAACTTTCTTTACCTTACTTACCCGGCGGCGGCTAAAAGAAGAGAAAAAATAAAAAATAAATTAAAATAAAATAAAATAAAAAAAGAAAAAGAAAAAGGAAAAATAAGTTGCCTAGGATAATTCAATCAATGCTCTAGGACATACATTAATTAAATATTTATCGATGCGCTCGGCTGATCTTCGGCTTACCTAGGTACAAAGTACAAAGTATGTTAGTTAGTATGTAGGTCGGTCCCGGATGTTGTTTTGCCGTTGCGGCCCCGTGAACGCTATGCTGCCAGGGCTGGAAGTTGGGCTCAAACAACTAATAACTAATAGAGTTTTGCGCTTGCTGAGGAATTATTTTTGGAGGAACTTGGGTTTCTTTTTTTTATTTTTTTTTAATTTAATTTAATTATTTTTTATTTTAGGTTGGGGTTGGGGTTGGGTTGGGTGGAGTTAGAGTGCAGTACGGAGTACGCAGTAGTGAAGATGGTGTTGGCAGGATGCTCTCTCTCTGTGGAGTTAGGCTCAATGAATAATAATAATGCTGTGCAGGACCAGCTAAGTTACTCCGTAGTAGTTAGCAGCTAAGCCCGCACAGCCACGGAAAAACACCCAAATCATTCAAGTAGGGATTGATTACAAGGAACTGGCATCTGGTTTCCTCATAGAGACTAGACCCATAGTTACATATAAAAACATAAACCAACAATGCAAAGAAAAAAATGCTCAAATCCACTCTTTCTGTTAATGATATTACTTACCCTCTCTCTGAGTCAGTTTGTTCAAACAACACTGAAGAATTGAAACTCATTATTTCTTGTATTTTTATAATTTTCATCATTTCTCATCATTGTTTGCACTGTGATCTAGTATTGATATGAATCATATGATTATTCATTCTCTGGCAGTAAGTATATTGTGAGAGAACTCTCTCTTTTATAAAAAGATATACTGATATTATTCTCTTGTAAATGATAATTATTGTAGAGCTCGCTTCGCTATAGAAGATTGACTTTTGACATCTCAGAGCTCTTTTCGTTGTAGAAGACGAAAGTATTAATAGCATTTGAATAAGAGAAGACAATTCTTTGATGAAAAGAAGTAGTGCTTAAAAAGCGTATTGAAATAATGCGAGACTTGAAACCTCATCATGAGACTGCAGAGCTAGATAGATAGATATACTGCATACATAGCACACAGTAGCAAGAGCAAGCGGGCAAGCGAGGAGAGGAGGCTGACTCAGCACCCGAAACTATAAATAGTCTCATCATTCAATATAAAGACCTAACTACGTCCGTTCTCCTTGACGTTCCCATTCATTATCTTCGTTCCTCAACATCGTTTCATAACCTCAAAGGGACTCAGTTGTTACATTGAAGAGATTATTGCATGATATATAATGCTTTGTAGAAGTGCAAGAGCTCCATAGTATCTGTGGGATGTTGGAACATGGTTGTTAATATCTATCTAGTGGCTAGCGGCTGTGTGTATGAGTGGAATAGGGCTGGATTAGTGTACAATGGGGTGGGATGACGTAAGGTCATGTGATTTTATTTTTATTTTTATTTTTATTCGTTCGGAGAATAGTTGGAGGGGCGGAGATGGGAGAGGGGACAGTAGAGAAAATGAATGTGGTAGATAGAGAGGAATAGATGGGATATTGGAGAGGTATTACGGGGTAGAAAAGAATGAGGTGAGTTGACTTCTTGGAGGTCCTCCTCTTGTGGTTTGTCGGCGGGCGATCGCGACTGCTTGTCTCATGTAATATGGATAGATAGATAGATAGATAGATAGATAGATAGCATTGCTAGAGGCATGATGAATGTCTAATTGCTTTCTTGATATATCGCTCACAAGGGGGAATTTAGAACGGGGTGATTATTGTGTGGTATGAGATGTGTAAAGGAATATGAATATATATTGAAAAGATATATAGAGAGCTAAAACCATATCAGAGTGCATATGGTAGAGAGTTATATATGTATGAGGTGCGAAACAAAAAAGATAGGGGAACGGAAACGATGTTGATGGTCAAAAAACTATGATAAGATATAATAAAAAAAGAGGAAATTAGAAACGGTGGTAAGAACAGGCAATGAGATATAGAGACAGTACAGAGGATAGCTAATGATGATGAGGAGACTAAAAACAGAAACACAACAGAGAAGATAGATAATAAGCAGTAGAGAAAAAAAAAGAGATGAAAGAGACAAAAATGAAAATGAAGCACAAGTTCGAGTATCTGATATTTCCATACACGTTGCGCGCCCCCCCACCTCTTTCTGCAAACGGAGACACCCATTTCATCGTATCTGTTCACACTCCTTCGTTCGATATCATAAAGGCCTCCCTCAATTGAATATCTATTGCCTCCATCCACTTGCCCATCGTCACTGGCAGCCGGTACAAAGTTTTCCCTTGCGGTACTAAAAAGGTTAATAAAAAAGCTCTTTAGCGATTTCTACCTAAAAAAAAGAAAAAGAAAAAAAAAGTATATCTCATTTCCCATCACTATCCCATATTCCCAACTCCCCTCCCCCCCTCCTTTTTTCTTCCCCCTCTTATCGCTTGCGTTTCGTAGATTTTCCTTTCTTTATTCTTGTTTGTCTGTTTCTTCCTTTAGCCATTTCGCGCGGCGCGGCTCCTAACAACTGCACTCGCCACCCGTCACTCAACGAAGCTTGCAAGCCGTTCGTCCCTCAAAGCCCATATACCAATATACCGACTTTCATTTCCACGCATTTAACCCCGCCCACGGGTCATTGCTATTACTCTGCCCACCAGACGGGCCCTGCGGCGTCTGCGACGGATGCTGCTGCTGCATGGCACTGTACGGCCGCGGCTGCATGTATCCCGCCGGCGGATACGGCGCGCTGGACTGCGGGTAGGGCGACTGAGATGGCCGCGGGGGCGGTGGAGGCGGTATGTACCCCTGCGGCATGAACTGGGTGGGTTGCTGCGGGCTGGCGTAGCCGTATTGTGATGGGGAGAAGTATTGTTGGTTTGGTGGAGGGGAGATGGGGGGTTGGTAGAGGTAGGCCATGGGGTTGTAGCCTTCTGCGGAGGGGGCGACGCCGGGGGGTCCTTGTTGGGGGTATTGTTGTGGCTGTTGTTGTTGTTGTTGTTGTTGCGGTGGTGGTTGTGGTTGTGGTTGTTGCTGTTGTTGTCCGGTCATGTATTGGCTGGTGGAGGGGTAGGACATGGTGTTGTGGTGAGTTGAAATGGACGGGGAGCGGCCGGGGGTAGTCTTTAGAGGGGATGGGCGAGGTTT